TTGGGAGGAGCGTTGGATTGAGTGCTCCCTCGCTTTAACTCGACTATGACTACCTATTCGTTGTCCCTGTGCGTAATTGGCGTAGCGCATAATGTGTTGAAGAATCAGCAAAAATCGAGACACGAAAGGGGCACCATGGGGGGTATGAAGTCATACCGATCTTGTGACGCAAAGCCTTCTTATTCGGCTCGAGTCCTTCCACGGCACAGAGTGTGACAAGACCTTCGATAGGGTATACCCTCATAGCGTACTGTGTAGCCATTTATGACGTAGCCGTAGGCTAGCGTCGTTCATGACATAGTACACCACATAACTTGCAAGTAATAGACTTAGTTCACCGAGCGGTGGGAATAGCATCACGACTGTTCTCGATCTTGTTTGGAGGATTCTGAGAACACTTCGTGAGGTCGTTCTTCCCAACGTTTCTCTGAGCAAAATTCGGGCAATCTTATCTATAGGAACGCTCCCTTCAGTCAGCCTGTAGAAGACCTCGCAATGTGAACGCTCACGTGTGTGTCCGAGGCGCCGACTGTATTAAATCGTGTTTTGCGAGGAATGGTCATGTTGAAGCCCGACGGTCAATTAATTATTAATCAACTCAAGCAATACTCTCCATCATATCATATTATACGAAGTGTTGCTCCAGTTGCTCAATCTATATATGGCAATCACAGAAGCTGATCCGAGCCTCACTGCGGGTCTCTTCCGCAAGCAAGTAGGTCATATTCGTCTATTTGAAGATCTCCGATAGTTCCTGTTGTTCTGGTAAGCTGAGTTCTGTTCATCAGGTACTGGCTTTGACAAAAAAGAATTTCCTTCTCTCTCGAAGGTCCAAGATTGCGGTCTGTTGTGAAGTCCTGTTGCCCCTCTTCGTCGCAGTGGTTTGCTTTGTTGTTGCCCCGCTGGTCAATCCGGACTCCCGTGACTTGCAGATTATCGTAAGCTCGGGTGAGCTACATTCACATTGTCACTGTGAGAAAATATGCGCATGGTTTACTACATGTGTTGGTCAGCGGAAATTCATTAGTGTTCTATGTACACTTCTACCCGGACTCGTATGTAGACTTCTATAGTTAGTGAGGAAACTGCCAAACCCAGTTTAAGAAAGCGAACATATATTCCACTACTGCTCATTGTTATCATATTTTCGTTCTTAGCCGGAAGCCCCGTATCCCTATACGACGTACGATGGTCGCAGGGACGGGGCGCTGTCCTATGTGGCCGGCGTGAGGAAGACTTATAAAGATTTCCCGCAGTTAGCATCAGTGACGCCCTTCCCGGACTTTTTCAACAGATCGAACTCTGTGACGTTGCTCCTGACTTGCGCGTGCGGGCATCTGGTCATCGGACCTGCTTGGTCACGAGAGGCCGAAGATTTCGCCGCCTATCTAAAAGGCGAATTTGAAAGTATATTCAAAGGGCGCAGTTTGCCGCAGTGCAGAGGCTTCCCAACGATAACCATTTCGACATCTATTACCGATCCGCGGGAGTATGTACGACGATCAGAATATGGTTCGATAGGCGTCCCGCAGCTCTGTGGGTACATGGACGTGTTCGAGCCGTATGAGTTAGTGATTATGGCTAATGCCACTATTGGTGATGATGACCCCTTCAACGCTATCAGCATCGACTACAGTAAAAAGAACAAATTCTGGTATGCGGAGAATGGAAACATAAAACACGGTGATCCGAGTGAAAACGGCCTGGTATACTATGAAGCTTTGAATTTCCCGCCGTTACTTGGCGTTTGGATGGATTATCACCGTGGGGAGCATAGGCCTATCACTGGCATCTACCCTATGCCTTACGACAGCTACAAGACTCGGACTTCGGGAAGCGATCTCATATTGCTGGGCAACATTCTCGGCCCCTTCCTGTACACTTTTTCTGCATTCTCCGTTGCGAGAAAACTCATTTCTGAAAGAAAAGGAAGACTCCGTGAAGGTAAGTGTGGTCGTAGTTTGTATTGTAATATTTCCATCAGGTATGCGTATAATGGGCCTCTATGATTTCCCATACAACATATCGTGGTATCTGTGGTATGCCTCTTTTTACGTGGTATTGTCCTTCATCGTGGGGGCCCTGTCTTTGGTCGTCCTCCCAACAGTCAGCGCTCTCTGGCTTTTTCTCCTCGCCTTTCTGTACTTTCTCGCATCGCTGTCGTTTGCCTTTGCGATATCGACCTTATTTGAGAACCCCAATACTGGCTCGACGTTAACTGCAGTGATCTACTATGTTCTTGCTATAACGGTATCAGTGCTTGACCGTGAAACGAGCAAGGGGGCCATCAGTTTGCTACCGCAATGCGCCTTCACTTTGGTAGTCCAGAACCTCGGTCAGCAGCTATTCTTGGGCATGGAGAGCCCATCGGCTAGATTAGCATATCAAAACTTCACCCTACTGCAAGGATTGACCATGCTCACCATCGACTTCATGCTGTGGACGTTATTGTATCTCTATCTCGACCAAGTTGTCCCTCATCAATACCGCGCCACACGCAAATTTTATTTCCTGTTCACTCGTGGGTTCTGGCGAGAAATGGCTGGTGATGAGAACGAGGAGAGGTATCGAGGAATAACAGCTGATCATGTTCCTTGTGAGGCCAGTAGCGTTACTGTTGATGAAGGAATAGAAAATCTCAAAGGTCAATTCCTCCTGATATCCCATTGTGTAGAGGTATAGTGGTTTGGGTGGTTGCCATGGGGAAAACCATAATCCGCACTACTTGCGGCGACTAAACACACCTGAGAGTTGACACTCTTGTGCTGTTGGTTTTCCCGATGGCGCCTTTTACATCATCGTCGCATATGTAAGTCATAGTTCGAGCTTTGGTCTAAACCAAATACATTATGACAGAACTGACGATGCTATAAAGGCCCCTATACCTCTAGAGGGTGCAGGTGGGCGGGAGAAGCCTCGTACGTATCCCATCAGATGCTGACTTACAGCAACTGGGCCTCTCCGAGTGAGAAGTTCTAGCGTCCCGGCGAGCGCTCGACTCATCTAGCGCTCTTTGTGACGCTCAACTGTCTCTCCACTCTACACAACGGTCTTAGTCGTCATTGACCTTGCTCCATAAATGGACCTCCATTCAATTCCTCCTGATATCCCATTGTGTAGAGGTATAGTGGTTTGGGTGGTTGCCATGGGGAAAACCATAATCCGCACTACTTGCGGCGACTAAACACACCTGAGAGTTGACACTCTTGTGCTGTTGGTTTTCCCGATGGCGCCTTTTACATCATCGTCGCATATGTAAGTCATAGTTCGAGCTTTGGTCTAAACCAAATACATTATGACAGAACTGACGATGCTATAAAGGCCCCCCACTGAACCACCCAAACTCGCACTAGTGATCAAGTGTCCAAACCCGCACTAGTGATCAAATTTCCGAACCCGCATTAGTGCTCCCCATAAGCACTGCCAGTGCTGCACTGGTACGCAAGAAACAGAAATCTTAGAAACCAGTCTACCTTTATTTGACACTACTGCATGTCCTA